CTTGCTTCGACTCTAGGTACAGTTCGTTGCTGCAATATAGTCTTTCCTTACTGACTGAAGATCTTGCTTCGACTCTAGTCGGATCTAATCCTTGTCTTCACAGCCCCGAGTTTATCACGGGGTACTGGGTTGGAGGAGGAGGTAGGATTGCACATTGAACGCGGTGAGGATGGCTGAGAACAGACCCGCCTGGTGCGCCGATCAGTATGTAGTGATTCACGAGAGATCGTATGCGGTATGTACCGTACGTAGACGAGGAGAGTGTCTATCTCTTCCTTCCACCTCTTCACCATCTCATCGCTATACTGTTTAATGACCTCGGCCGTCTTCTCCAGCGCCCGATCTTTCTCAGCTTGGGTGTAAGTCTCCCGGAACTCCTTCCTCAGCTCCTGTCAAAACATATATATCATCGTGCCCCCAAAGCAGGTAAGCAGTTGACTCGCCTCAATGGAAGGTATCTTCCACGGCAAAGACGAGCTACCCCTGACGCCACCGTCTTCGGTGTTCTGTCACGGAGACAACCAGTCAATGCGGATACAGTTGATGAAATTGCAACTGTACGTACTGCCTCTGGTATTCCCCCCTGTGGTTCAGTAGCGGACGAGTCGTCAGGTGTTTGACCCAGTTCGATTGCGGGTTGTGAAGCCGGTTCGGTGTGCTGCAACTCGATATCGTCCGATGTCGATGCCATTATATGAGGTCTAACGTACTCAGCTGGCCGTTCTATGGAGTATCAAATTTATTGATAGTGCACTGACCTATTGGAGTTGCTGACGCGAAAGCACACTTGTACGTAGTTGGACGTGGAGCGAGTTGGCCGCGGGGACAGGTATCGCGGCTAATGGTCGTTCGCCACGCAGCAAACACGTGTAGCCGGTCACTGGATCTGACTACTTCCCAAGGAATGTCTCGGGAGATCCGAAACGGTCCGACCTGGTATGAGCAAGTATTATTATTATTATTATTATTCTCTTGTCTTATACCAAACATAGCTACAAAGTACGGTAGGTATGTAAGTCTGGTATGAGCAAGTGAATGGAAGCGACTTGTCTGACGGCTGCATTGAACGCGAGCGCTCGAGACCTTCCACACTAGGCGCTTATCGTCGCAATCAGGTGATCGCACGAGTCTGAGCCTCTTCTGACTTCCATGGCCGATATCTGCACTTCTCAGAACAACTGCAGGTAAGGCTTACACGCTTGCTTTTCTGTAGAGCAGCCAATCAGTATCCAATGGTTTCCTTGCAACTTCCCCATCACTGATGCTTATAGGGCCTGCGGACCGCGCGGTACTGGGTTTGCTTGCCCCAGGACCACATGTAGCTGTAACGACGATGAACATGGTGGATACGCATGCATTACGTGGTTTCATATGGCGTTGACTGACCCTCGCAGTGTTGAAGTGCGGCTGCAACCGCCCCCTGTCCGGCGATTGTGCATTCGCGAGGTCAGAAAATCAGTGTACCTGCAATAAGTAAATGCTATATCAAGATCTGTTGGAGGAGATCCGAAGATGTCTATTGTACCGGGATCTACATCATACGCTTTCAGTTGTTAGCTAGATGGTCTGCTCTTGAGAAGTTATATCACCATGAGTGCGATTGCCCTATCGTATACGTATACGAACCGCGAGAGCTGTTGGGTCCACTTCCAATGAAAGCCGACGCGGTATATCCAACGTCAAGGTAGCACAAGTACGAAAACATCGTTCGCCTTGAATGTCTTCACTGCCGGCAACGCCCCCTTCCCGACCCCATCTTCTTCTGCCTCCCGTCTTGCCTCCCACCTCACATCAACGATCCTCACCTCGTCGCCCTCCTGAACCGGAGGCCCCTGCCCGGCGATCCCTTGTTCGGTCTGTTGCGAGATCTGGACCGCGCTCCTTCTATCAAGGACCTTAATACTCGGTACCCTCACCAGCCCGCACTCGACCGGTATCAGGTTCCAAGTGATGTTCTCCTCTGCCCCAGGTAAGAGAATCGGCATGCGGCCGTGCCGGAGCCCGGAAACGATGAACGCGTCCGTCGCCGCGTCTGGCTCGAGCCGTACGGTCACATTTGCAGAGCGAGATGGATGGCGATTGCGGACCGTTAATCGGAGCGGAATGGGTTGGTGCAAATGCGCGGTTGTCGGAGCGTCGAGGAGGGCGACGAGGCCATCGGAGGGCGGGTGAAGGGACGGCAGGGGAAAGGTTGTCGTGGCGAGCGCGCCGTGAGCACCATCGAAGGAAACTCTACAGGATGCACGTGAGTAGCGAGAGGAGATGGGAGAGCGGGGGAGCGTACCTCCGCCAGCGAACTTCATATTCGCCTGCGCCTGAGATGGCCCGGTCTGGTTCGTCCTCGTCCGGGACTACGCTTATTCTGCAACGACTGCACAGTTCGTCTCCGGAGAGCCATTCTGGACGAGGGTCTGAGGAACCCCGCGCTTTGAAGGAAGAGTACATACACACCTCCACTAAAGTCATCCGTATCAGCCGAGCAATCCACGATAGTCGCGTCGTCGATGTTCTGCAAATCAACCTGCTCAACCCAAAGTACTCTTTGGAGAAATAGTCATCGACGGCACGGACCTTCCGTGAAAGTAGAACACTCTCAATCTCGATCCCCGCTGGCGCCACGACGGTCAGCGTGCTAGTCACAATCGCCTCCACCGCGCTCGCCTCGTCCTTCTTTCCCCCTTCAAACGTCTCCAAGTCGGCAAGCCCAGGTTGCGCCCGTGTCGGCCGCCTGTAAGTCGCCTGATGCGTCACCTTAATCGGGTGGATAGCTTCCACAGCGATAGTGCGCAACGTCTCCGTCCGGTCGACTAGTGGGGGATGGCTAGGCGTGGTAGGTGTAGTCGGGGAAGTAGGCGTCGAGGCGACAGTATTAGAAGCGTGCGACTCGGACTGGACGGAGATGTCGATCACGCGTTCGCCCGCGCCGCCGGTGTTGGTGAGGACGAGCTTCTTCAAGATGCTCGTCCCAGGGGCGAGAGACCCGCAGGAGATGTTTTTGATGAGACTTGTCGAACGCTGGTCATCCATGGCGATGTAGTTGACTGGAGTCGTTTACACATTTCCGTCAAGAGAAGGTGCGACGGAATGACAGAGACGTACCTGCTTCATCTATCTCCGTAGGCTGTAGCAGGACGTCGACCGTAACGTCAAGCTCCCTATCATCGCTATTTGTCACGTTGATCTCCAGTGGGAACTCTTCGCCAATGTATGCGGGCCCATTGTGCGAGATCGAGACGTGTATACGGTGACTGCGGTATCGCACGCGCACCGCCGTATGATCTTCTCGCCGCATTGGCACATATTGCGGAGGGTCGACAGTACATAACCACTTAGGTGCGATCAAAGAGTCATCAGGACGTGAGGCTTCGGGGACGATGGGCACTTCGATCCACCAGCTGCGTTCCTTGATGGTGAGCACAAGCTTCGAGACCTACGCGGCGGTTGAGTCGATTGTATCCGTCCAAATAGACTGGCAATTGGGGTGCATACCGAAAGGTGCATAGGAAGGTCGGAAGCGACGCTCCCAGCCAAGACGATGGTCGAGCCAGGACCCCATCGCAACACGCTCACGACCTCTTGCGGCTCCGCCGGCGCTGGAGATACGTTTATCTCACCTATGTCAACCCTCTGCACCGAAGGGACCTTGGCGTCTGGATCGGCCTGTACATGCTTGACAATGACCGAGGGGACGTCGCTATTGAAGTGAATCGCCAGGGAGGTGAAGGAAACGGAGGAGAGGGAGACGTGAGGAAGGGAGGAAAGGTGGATCTGGACTGGGGCGAGCACCCCAACGTCGACCTCGGGTTCCCAGAAAACGACCGAGGTGCTCACTAGGTCCACATATACCCTCACATCAGTGAATCAAGACGCATACGAGGGAACAGGGGGATACGTACAGAGAGATTTGGACTCGGACAGATCGATAACAAGTGGCTCATCCGTCGCTGAGGGCACAGTGCTCTGCAGGACGGCTAGCAGATCGTCCTGCAGTGCGTCGGGGTCCTCCGGAGACGCGTTGGTGCCATAGGCGAGCATCTCGACGAGCAGCCGGACGCTCAGGTCAACGTCACCCAGCTGCTGTGCGCACTTGTACCACTGCGAGAGCAGCGGGTGCAAGAGCGACTGCCAGCTCTCACGACGGTATGTCCGCGCAATGCGCTCGAAGAAACTGCGCGCGTATGCGGTCAGCGATCTAGCCCAGGAATACAGGCATCTCGAGGCGAGCGTACCGGACGGCCATATCGAACTTGCCGGAATCGTGGTACGTCTGTGCAATGCGGTACGCAATCCACAGCGTCAGACGCCCGGGGTTGTTGCCCTGCTGGGGGCTCCACTTCTTGAATAGTTCATATGCGCGCGTGTACAGCTGTGCGACGCAAATGCGTCAGTCACAGAGACCGAAATGTAAGAACCGAACTGACCTCGAGGGCAATCGTTAGATGGTCCACCTTCTTCTCGTTCACGAACCCAGGCGCGTTTGACTGCTGTGGCTCTCCATCGCTTTCCAACGCAGACAAGAACCGCTCTCTCCGCCTCTCTGTGCACCTTGCGGCCATGTAGTAGTAAAACCCCGGGTGCTGAAGTGCCTGGTTCGGGTTCAGACCGAGCACTCGCATCGTGTCCAAGCCCATCTGCGTCGCTTCAAGCACCTGCGCCGCCATGGCGGCAGCGGAGGGCGCAGGAGGTGGGTAAGCGGAAGGTATCTTGAGCGTTGAACGAGTGCCTTGCTCGAGGAGCTCGGCAAAAACGCGGTGTCTGTGCCACAGAGCGGGCAACGATGTGAGTAATCGGAGGAAAAGAGGTGGGCGGTAGCCAACGTACTGTCGCGCGAGCCAGCTCCAGAACTCGAATGTCTCCTCGCCGATGCCCCATCCCCGGGAAAAGTCTGCGAACTTGCGCATATGACCGTTCTGGTGTGAGAGCGCGAGCGCGTGTTCATTATTATACAGATACAATTTGACGATCTATCCACATGTGTAATGCATCAGATACTGTCCTTGCGCTTTTCAGAACGAACGAACCTTCACGGTGATGCAGTCCGCAAGTACCTTAGCCTCTGCCCAGCGCTTCGTGCGCGGGGGCAGGATCGCAGTCGAGCCGAACATGATGATGAGCGTCGAATACGCGTCCTGGTAGTGCCTTCGCTATCTTCAATACAGAGATTCATTGACTGTGACGAACAACACACGTACTTGAGCGCGACCTGATCCTCCCCGCGGAACTCCGCAAAGCACGCCATTTTGTACTCGTACCGAACGGTCCACCCCTCAGGGCGCAGCGGCCGCGCGATGCCTGCGCTCGCGAGTGGCGAGATGGGCATCTGGTACACGCTCGCCTGCGAGTGGCGGTTGCGTTTTCGCCGCACACGCTTCGAGTGGTTCGTGTAGTACTCCAGCGCGGGTTCATACAGCGCTTCTTGCAGGCTAGGTGGCATGATGCCTGCGCGTGAGGACGTGCCAGAGATGATGGAACACATGAGAGACGCACCTGCGCACGAAGTCGCCGATTTCGGCCTGGGAGACGGGACTGAGGACGAACAACGCCGCGCGCGGGTCGAGCCCGCTCTGTCTCCTGATGAAGGTGAGCCGTGCGTCGAGTGTCGGGTCGTCTGGTCGCATTCCATGTCAACAGAACACCCCCTGCTGATTCCAACTCCACCCCGAAGGCCGGGAGGTGCGCACCTAGCATGCGCCTGCTCGCCATGAGGACTGCGGTGAGCTTGATGTTACGTTCGTTCGTACTCTTCTTGCGCTGAGCGATCTCTGCCGCCAGCTCCGTGTCCCGCCTCCGCTCCTCCGCCTCCCTCTCCTTCTCGTTCTGCTCCTGCCCGGGTAGTGGTGGAGGCGACTCGTATATGCGCATGAAGAGGACGAACACTGAGGGCACTAGTGTAGTGTGTTTCCGGATCCATATAGGGGCGATGAGGCCGTCCGGATGTAACGGAGAGGATGGTGTCAGAGGGGACAAGGGCGAGTGCGAGGAGCTGTGCCCGGGTTCGTCTGGGCGCAGCATTTTGCGCGGGGGAAACGGGACGTCCTGGAGCATCAGTTACACGACACTTCCAAGGTGATGAGACACCGGGGCATTGATCTGCAATACACAAATTGTGCTCGGAGCCACCGTATGGCGACTACCTTTCACATAATCTCATGGTTCAAGGTGCGACACACCAACCGCGCAAGCACATGACAGAGGTAGAAAGGTTTATGATGACGATTTTCTCATCTACTCTGAGGTGGCAAAGTCTCTAGGGTCGTTCCGCAAGCCGACGCCCCGGGTGGAAGAGACACACACCTTGTCGACGAGCACGACCTGGAACGTCTTGCTCTTATCGGGCTGCCATATCGCAACCTTGCGCTGCGCAAGGAGGGCATCGCGCAGACGCGTGGACAGGACGTTGAACGGGTCTTGACGCTGGGTTTGTTGAGCGGGGGTGGTGGGTGTTTTGGGAGGAGGCGCATGCGCCGATGCGCTAGCCGGGGTCTGGGGCTGATGCGGAGGGGGCACCTCAAGCCCAGCAACAAACATGACTGGCGCAAGCTGCACGAGCAGCTCAGGTGGGTAGGAGTTCATGGTGTCATGAGATAGAGAGGTGGTGTACGAACACCATGCGCGGCATGGCTGGTAGCACTAGTATCAGTCCTGTTATGGAAATCTAGGCGCCAATGCTGCTCTGCTTCTCCGGATCCATTCTCTTCGGCTTTAGCGGATCCGAAATGTCCTTATCGAATTCTGAACTACAGCATCTGGAGAGTGCGATCTGTGCGCCTTGCATCAACACTTATACAGGTGTTTTATGCGATTGCCCCGACAGGCACGAGGAGTCTAGATTCATCGTCTTTTCATCCCCTTTACTTGGTAGAGCGCGTCACTACACATTGAGGACACGGTCAGTCGTTCGAGTCGGCTAATGGGATATGTACTGAGAATATTTTTAGCAGCCTCGTTGTCATGCTCAAGTCGTGACAGCAATCAACCATTATTGCTATCAGCGGCCACACCTTGTTGCCGACCCTCATCATCAAGCTTGCGGGGGCTTTGTTACGTGTGCTACTCACCATGCGTTCCGCAGTGCCGCATACCCCGCACTTTGGTCCTTGACACTTGTCATGGCGCTATGGCCTGCCATGCCCCACTGGCGGTTCGAACATGCAAGTCGTCATGAATCATAATTGATTGCTTCAATCAGGTGACCTCTTTTCACGAAGATGTCACATTGAGCCACGTTTGAGAAGACTGTTCCCCAATAGGCGTGTTCAATTCTTGTCGCTCGCTCATTTCTTCGCGCGCCTACCGGGCGCCTGCCCACCTGTATTCAAGGTCAGCTCAAGCGCCTGTAGCACAGCGAGCAGAGGTGCGCAGGCAGCGGGTGCAGCGAGATCGACGGGATCGTCCTATGCTAGGTTTGTTATACCCAGAAAACCTGTCCGGAGAGTGGATGGAGACATCGGGAGAGCGTTATAGACTCGTTGCTCGAGAATAATCGTACACAATGCGCCCAAATCCGAACCACATTCGGCACGACATACATACGGTTCACCTGGGGTTGCCGCTGTAAGCCTGATGGCAATTGGACCCAAAACCTTGCGGGACGACTCCGCGTCTCGAGTCATAGAGCTCTCTAGATTTCAAATCATCAAGTTTTCGCGGTGCTCCTTAGTCCCAGCTCGCGACCCTCATGTGGTCATGTTGCACCCGCCGCCTGCCCCCCTCAGCTTGCTGTGCTACAGGCGCTTGATCTGACCTTGAATCCAGGTAGGCAGGCGCCCGTTAAGCGCGCTAAGAAATGAGCGAGCGACAAGAATTGAACACGCCTAATGACGCAGGCAATCCGACCCACGCGCGCTACCGACAGACGAGCGGCGTGATGAAGGTACGGTCAGGGCACTCCGCCACACCTCAGGTGGACAGACATGTTGAACAGGCGCTGGTTTACACGGCTTGCCTAACACAGCCGTTACAAGATATGGAACGGCACAGCCGGTTACTGCAATAACCGAGGCTGTACTACTCATGTGGTACGCACACAGCTTCGCTGTGTACGCACTGCTTCTCTGTGCGACTGTGCATCCTGAGAAGGTACTGTATAGTACTATGTATGTTGAACTTGGACTTATCCGGTCCGGACTACACGAGGCTATGCGTCTCCTAGCGCTTAGCTGTAGTCGCTTATGTAGTATGTTACCATATTTGGGACTCTCTGCTCGTGTACTATAGCTATGCTTCCGGACTCTTCTGGTACTGTCTAGGACAATCTGTACTACTCCAGAACGGTCTAGACAGGTCTATGCCTTACTCATCTCTTACTCATCCTATGGTGCGATATGTCGCAATTCTTTCGTCGTTGTATTATCCACCGCACTATGGTACATGTGACTAACCACTCTTCGATTAGTCATGGACACTTCTCTGTAGTATATAAGGACTTCAGATTTCGTCCTCCCTCTTCAGTCTTTCCTTACTGACTGAAGAGTGAGTACTTCGTTACATCTACCTCTAACTTGTAGTTACTTACTTAACCTTTGTAGTCTTGCTTCGACTCTAGGTACAGTTCGTTGCTGCAATATAGTCTTTCCTTACTGACTGAAGATCTTGCTTCGACTCTAGTCGGATCTAATCTTTGTCTTCACAGCCCCGAGTTTATCAGGTTATGAGCCCTGCGCTCTGACCAAAGTTTCGTGTTGACGTTTATCACTGCGCGCACCCATCATCCCTCTCTGTCGACACTCGGTTCTGCCCGTGCATCCCCTCCACTTTCCTAAACT